ACACACACACACACACACACACACACACACACACACATCTACACACACACACATAACTGATAACTCATCCCGAGTCAGGTCGGGCCCGCTAACCACCCGAACCCGTCCCGAACCCGTTCACAGCCGCTAAATTGTTCTTATTTTCACTTTGTCTTTAATTAACGGAGTTCAGTGGTCAGGTGATAGTGACGTAACCCCCCCCCCCTTACTTCCCGTAACAGCAGAGACGAAAACAAACAAGATGGCGGCACGTCTGGGGCTGAGCTGCAGCGGCAGCAGCTGATTGGCTGGCCGCCAGCACTGCGCGCTCCTATTGGGCGATGGCGTGCAGGACAGCAGCTCATTGGTCTGCAGTAGATCACTCCAGGCAGTCAGCCCCGCCCCCTGGAAACCTAGAACCAGAGCAGGTAGAAAACACCTCCATAAAAACTTCACTGGTGTTCAGAGACGGAGTTCTGTCACATCTGCTCACCATCAGGACATAGGAGCATCAGAACCAGAACCACCCATCATCTATAACCAGAACCGGAAACCCTCTGCTGACAGTGTATGTGCTTTGAGTTACTCCCTGAGTAAGAACAGCGCTGTATAAAGAATCAGTTGTTATCATTATTATTATTATTATTGTTGTTATTATTATTATTATTGATCCTCGACAGGAAGTCATTTGTGTGTTTAGTTTTTATCATCATGTTTTTATTGTTATTATTTATGGTACCATGGTAACCATCATTATGTTGTATAGTGTTATTTATTATTTTTATTATTTTGTGTTTAAACTTTGATTCAGTGATTCTTATCTTATTGGTGTACACATGTCCTTTAATAAATCCTGTAGTAATTGATATGGTGTGTGTGTGTGTGTGTGTGTGTGTGTGTGTGTGTGTGTTTTATTGTCTTATTTGTGGACTTTTAGGAGAAGCAGCGGAACCTTCACTCGTTCATTTACGTGAATTTAACGTGAAATCAAAACGTGTTGGTGTGTGTCTGATCTGTGTGACGTGTTTCTATTCACACACACACACACACACACACACACACACACACACACACACACACACCAGTTTCGATCAGCTGATTCCAGCTGGACTCAAACCTGCGTCCTCCATCAGCTCCAGCAGCGGTTCCACCTGGTTCTGTTCAGCCTGGTCCTGATTCTCTGATACTCCGGTACCGGATCTGTGGTTCTGCCGGGATTCTCCCTCTGACTTTGATCTCGCGGTGGCTGCTGGGAAATAAAGCCTGTGTTCGCCGTTGGTCTCGGTAGACATGTCAGCCGTCAGTCCGGACCAGACCCAAACCGGAGAGCCGGACCGGACCGGAGCCGAATCGGAGCAGAGGGAGGGCGACGTCCTGCAGCCGCAGACCGTGTTCGTCATCCTGGACTCGGCTGAAACTCTCAACCTGGTCCGGTGAGTGCAGAACTTCTGGGGCTTTCCAATATTTTTCCCCTCAAACCAAAGTCCGTTCAGAAACTTACGTTTTTAGCGCCGTTGTTCTCACCGTCGGTGGACTTGACCTGTGCCTGCTCTTCACAGGTCCAAACGAGTCCTCGTTGTTTCACTGAGACTTTTACAAACACGAATTTGGCTTTTTGTATAAGATTGATGCCGAGTTTAGGTGTACGGTCAGAGCGGGTTCGGACTTCAGTTAGATTCTCTGGAGTCAGATTTGTAGAAATTTTGAATGAAGTTTGGTGTGAAATGCTCTTGGTCCTCGTGCTGCTATAAAGAAACTGTGAGGAGGTTTAAGTGTGTAAGTACAGTGATGAAGATGATCAGGATGATGAAGATCAGGTTGTTGAAGATGATCAGGATGATGAGGATGATTTTCAATTCAATTCAATTTTATTTGTATAGCGCATATTTACAACAACAGTCATCTCATAGCGCTTCACAAAGACAGAAACAGAAACACCCAACAATCCAAACATCTGGATTCTCTATAAGCTTCAGCAGTCTGCTGGTGGGAAGGAACCGAAAACC